TACTCTCTACGTCTACTTTATGTTCCCAACAAGATCCATTCCAACCAAGTCCTCTTCAAGTTTAAAAGCACGAAAAATGCATACTAATGCCGACTAAATTTTTGGCATCAGCTAGCTAACAATCTCATGCCGGCGACTGCAATAGTACGTGCAGGAAATACAAAATTGTGATGCGAAAATCTTGAGCAAAAAATTTGGGATGGCCATAAGAGGTAAGGATTAACAAACGAGATTACGCTCAGAATGTGCACAATTTCGAAAGAATTACGACCTTAATTTTGGGAATGAATGCTTCAGTTGTAAATGCAAGAATAATACTAATGATTAACTACCATTCAACTGAGTTATCACGCTGGGCTAAGCAGAGAAGTAATAGATCTGATATCACCTATCGCAAAATTTGTTCGTTAGTTTGGTGGTGCACCATCCAGGCTGGTCCACCAATTAGATTGAATAGGTTGGACATTTATCCCACTTGAGGTAGGAGATGACTGGTTCGAATTCGATATAGCTCGACCATATTTCAGCCAGCGCTCGAGTGCACGGATGACGAAGGCGTGCTTGGATAGTCAAAGGTTCTGAAACGTTCCTTTTTCGGATCCTCACTGAGGAGAGTAAAATGTTTACGTATGCATATATACCTCGTAGTGGTATTTGCAAATGAAATCCAAAGTATAAGAATCTCGAGGGACGGGAGAGGGAAACTCGATATTTGTCAATGATGTCCCTTAAAAGCCTCTAGCTCTTACTGTAGAGATTATAGAGCCGAGATTGGGTACAACCTTTTTAACTTTGGCTGAGTTATCTCCTACTCCCTCAATAATTCGCTTTTGATAACGCATAAAACGATCAAGACTACGATAATCATGCTAGGAATGAAGAGAGATATTCCGGCACAAAACGCTACAACAGTAATCCAAAAAGCCCTCGTTTCATCCTGATATATACTTCTTACCGGTGGACAAACAAAAGCCCACGAAAACAAAATTAAAGACCCTTCAGACCCCAGGGATAGCAGATTTCGACCCATTAAGAATATCGTCTCTTCTAACCTTCAATTCCGAATCTACTAGCCAGGAGGGCATCTGAAATATATGAATTATCTGATAATCTCGTATCTATAACTGCTTCTGCAAGCTAGGCAAGGCTCCTTCACGGCAATTACTCTTGACCAAGACTTCTCTGATATCCTTCCGCAATCTTTAGTTTATCCCACGGCATGAATCAGGAGAAGAATAAGAAGGAGGCTAGGAAGTTTGTGAGAGGCTCTTAAGTATACACTGGTCTGCTGCGCTCGGCTACCTTGATTCTTGGAACACTTCAAAAGGATGGCTATGGCTTCGGATTTAGTCTTAGATTTGGTATTAGGGGAGCACCGCACCTAGTGGTTTTTAAGATCTTTCCATGCAACTATATACCTGCAAGTGCCCATCGTTTCGTTGGCTGGAGAGGGTAGATAATTACGGAATAATGGCACTTTTTAGTGTTTACTCTAATAAAGACTTGTGGGTGTTTCAGTAGTGGAAAGAAGTCGTGTAGGAAGTATAGGAGGGAGTACACTACTTGAGACATAGATACTCCTGGCCTGTAAATGTTAGAGAACTATGTGTCCTTACTTGGTCACAGATTCAGTAAGAAAACAAATATTAAAGAAAAAGGTCTCGAGTGGTGTCAGCGAATTCACTAGCTACATGAGCGGTCCAAATATCAAACTGAGATGTCCTCGAATATAATAGTCGGATAAGGACTAGGTTTCTCTGTGACATCCTCTATGAGTGCTAGGCTTTTGCCCATCACGAATAAATATCTTTCTATCTATGAGTCACGATACTCTACGCCGTGATACTCTTTCTAGACACATCCAAAAAAATCATAATGATGCAACTCAGTAAAAATAGGACTAGAGTGGATTATTTTCCCAGTTATATTCTTTGCCTGACTAAAACATTTTGTTAATCTTAGATATTGTTATATTAACTAGGCTATATGGGAGCAGGACGATGGATACTCTTGAGGAAGTCATGCTCACAGTAGGTCTCTATAATTGCTGTTGCGTGTGTTCTCGTGATATGTAAGACATGACTCTATATTCTCGTATAAAGGAAACTTAGTTACAATGAATGGATGGAGGTTGAGACCTCCTTATATCTTGCTCCAGACTTACTGTGTTGTTCACAGCCTAATGCTAGAACATTCCCTTATGATATCATTTCTCTCCTACGAGAAATGACCAGCTCGTTCTCTCTCGGTCCATCAGTCTCTTGCTGATTCCGTTATCTCTATTCCATCTAGTTCTAGTTTGGTCCAGTATACCCACACATGCATTACACACTAAACACCCCACGGTTTAGTTACACAGTCACGTGCATATGCTATGACGCGACCTAAAGCATGTACCAAGGTAGGCTACATCGATAACACAACAGATATTGCCGGAAATGTTCCAAGACTTTCTCTCGAAACATCCATCTTGTCCTAGGTGCCATATTCTTACCAGAGTTACTTCACTTATGTAGTCAAGATCCACATTTTGCAAGGTACTACGGCCAATTCTCCCGTCCACATGCACAGTTGAACTCCTCATTTTCATTATCGAACCGACGGTAGTAAAAAATTCTATAAAGATGCTGTATTAGTGTATCTTAAAGTAATCTGATGCACTGCGACAGATCCCTAGATTTTATTAAGGCCGGCCTATTTACATTGACATCAGATATTGATAACCCGATTTACCCATGAAGACAATCTTTCACAACACCAATAATTGCCGTGCCGAGAACCTCGATGTGCGTAAAAGGAGAGAGCACCAGAACTCCTTGGAGCTTCTGATACTAAGGAAATTTATTTTATTGATGGCTACTTCATATAGTTGATGTCGTTCGTTGGAACCAACTCAAAGGCTTTCCGCTGAAATTTTAGTCCTTTACTTAGTGTTGGAAAATATACTCTGTACGATATTATATGGATAAATATGATGAAGTAAAGAAGACTTAATATTTTACAACTATGTGAAAATTGGACTTATATAAACATCTTAGAGGAGAAATTTCCACTAGTCTCATGTGCCTGTCAAACCTAAGGATGACCAGCCACCTCTCATCTACCATGATGAGCCAAGGTACGGAGGGCAAGACTGAACACCTGTACGCGGTGTCCTCTACGAACCTGGGAGTGAAATATTCTCCCAGAGCCAAGTTCAGTCAAATTTCGCAATATCAAAGAAGTTGGCCCACGAGGCAAAAATCCAAATTACTCCTCCACGTCGTTATTTCGCTCCCAACGAGTTTGACTCCTATCTTCGTCTCATCGAGTCTACAAGTACCACCAAGTACATCCTCATTCCAATGACCACACCACTCTTCGACCTTCTCTGGCCTCAGCTGGTCACCAAATACACGCCCACGCCGATATTTATACCCGACGGAGGAAGCAAAGCGTGGCGCAAAAATCTGGGAGACAGTTCTTTGGGATGGACGTGAGAGGAATCAGGACAAGTTTACAAGATGATGCGGAGGAAGGATATAACCTCGAAGGGCGTGAGATTCCGAATTTTGGCAAGGAGTTTTACGAATTGAGCTTTGTGCGCGCCAAGACTTCGCTTGCGAGAGTGCAGCTGACACTATAAAAACAAGCCGACGATGGAAGGTGTGGTGATCCGCCTCCTGGTGATGTTCTCTGGTATAGTTTGAGTAGCCTGGGCACCTACTCCACTTGGGAAGGAGACATCTCAGATTACATTTCGCGCGGAGAAAAGTTGAAAGATGACGGAGGCATGTCTGGATAACTCAGGGTTTTTGAGATGTTCCCCTGAGTGGGTATTCACGGATGAGGGTTGACTTGGGGTGAAGAAAAAGCCACCATAACTTCGCAGTGGTACCTGCAAATGAAATCCGAGGCATGAGTGCTCTTCCTTTACGTTGAATCATCTATTCTGTACTTTTCTTTGATATTGTGTCATAGCTAGATAGCTGCATACGCAATTAAAATCTGATGCAAAAAAAAAAAAAAAAAAAAAAGAGCCAAGGTACACTGTAGTACGTAAATATCCAAACGTATAGGCGACATTAGGCGCGATTAGCGCACTCGGGACATGTGTAGAGAGAGTCGATCTTGTCGGGAACCTGAGACGAAACAGGTAATGGTTGAGTCCTAAATTCGAGATTCAGAATTTCCAACACTTAGTCGTCTATACCGTTCTTCGCTAAAACTTATGAACTTTTGTCTACCCAAGAACTCCTGAGCCATATAATTGGACAAGCGATCCCGAATCTCGTGTAGAGTGGGATTTAATGAGTAGGGAGGGGAGATAACAAAGGGTAGAAGGCTCCTCCAATTATTTGATCGAATTAGTTCTTGTAGGGGGTTGTACTGATTAATTGGGGCTGTACATGAAGCATAGGATGGGAAATACTACTGGCATAGTTATCCTTGGCCATTAGGCAGTGAGTACCTACATGCTCTACTTAGTCTAAAACTGAGAGAGGACAAAAAATTATAAAATGGGGTAGGTAATTGAGCTATTTCAAATCTACATATGTCACAATACTAGATAGAATACCACTGCACCATAAAATGAAAAGTATAATCAAATGCTGGCACATCGCGTGCAATCTGGGGCCTGTGCTGTTGTGTGGATGAGTCAAGTCACGAGCTGTGCAGTGGCATGGAGTAAAGCCAGCCAATCCTATTTGTACTACCCGAGATGCCTGACAACTTTCCTAACAGCTTCCCTAATCACCTACAGCAAAATCTCTTGGTCATCTCAATTATACTTCAAATCCACTATTTCAATCAATCGAACCTAGCAGGTAGCACTCTTTATCAGGCCAAGGAAATTTTTGCAACAAAATGCCGAAATGTAAGTATAAGATGTCACAAGCCATACCAACTTTAAAAGCTGATAGTCAACAGTCTTTTGTGAGACGTTCTCTAGTCTATGTAAACAATTTTGATTAACATCCGAAGGCGATTATTGCGATGTCTATCTAACGCATGACTCTATGTCTGTACGAAAAGCTCACAATAGTGGCCGAAATCATCTCAGAAATGTAGTGGACTATTATCAACGTACGATCTTACCAAATCGTTTAGAATACCAAAAGTAACTAAGTAAACAGAAATTGGCCACGAGAAAGCGCAGTCTGTAATAGACTCCATCACAAACTCATATGCGGCAGAAGGACAGTCTGCAGCTAACCCTGTCCTCAACCAAACCCCTGGAGGCCATCCTCCTCTCCCTCCCTTTGGACTTCCTGGAGGTAATATTGCAAGAACTTTTATCATATGAAACTCTGATTCAAATTAGTACTACCACCTCTACCGTTTGGAATGACTGGACTAGGAATTCCTGGAATGCCTATCCCATCTCCGGGCGGTTTGCCTCACCCTGCAGGTCGTGGAGTACCACCTATGCCACCATTCCCAGGACTACCATTTCCACCACCTGGCGGCTTGCCACCAAATTTTCAATTCCCTCCCAACGGTCTCCCTCCTGTACCTGGTGGATTCCCCGGGGGTATACCTCCTCCTGGATTTCCACCAGCTCCTATGCCTGGACAACAACCGCTACAGAATGAGCCGCCTGCTCCTGAAAGACGATAATGATTTGAGATTGAGCAGAAAGGTAAGGATTCCTGTATTTTATTTTGCGACAGGATACCACTAGATATAAAATCACATTCTGGGGAATGGTGGGCGTTGGTAATTAATATATTATGTTGAAAATACCCAGTACCAATAACTGTCTAGACGAAAACTCTGAGCGATTTCAAATTTTGATTTTCTTGTCAGATAGCAGCTATCTTTGATCATAACAATTGAAAATTAAGATTTAAATTAAACTGTATAGTGATCTGGTTTCAAGACTTCTTTCAAAGCATAGCAAGCAAATAAATTTACAGCAATCACAAAAAAACATCACGTTTGATGAAAAGCTAAGCAGCTTTTCATAAATACTCTGAAATTACTTTGAGATTGCGAGATTCACTTTTATCATTCGATAACCTGTTTAATGTCATAAAACCTTTAGTGCGACATCATGGTGGTTGTGTGGGTTTGCGGATGTAAATTCACTGGTCCCGACGTGTCGCTATTCCCGACAATGGGAAACATATCTGAAGGCACTAGAGAGTAGAAAGTTACAATAGACAAGAGCCATCGAAATTGACAGTATCTATCAAGAAAGATTGGATTAATTTCGACAAGTGAATTGGATGAGGAGAATTTTCTCACCTTGGAGATCACCGAAGCCGTAAAGCCATGCGAGAATCACAGTTCATGGGCAGCAATATCCCAGATCCCGACTCCAATTGAGAAGATGATAGATCTAGAGAAGGTATTCAAGAGAATCTTGTATATCCCGCTCTAAAATCTGCGCCAGCTGTGGTATTAAGGGTGCTTTCCCAAAAAACCCACGCGTCGGTCGTAGCTCGACAAATGGCGAATACAGTGATACACATAATCATTAATTGAACGAGAAATTTACAGTTGAAGTAACCACTTTCATAGGTCAAAGGTCGCATAAAATGTGCTTATGCTTTCCGCCAGATTCGAAACAAGACTGATAAGCTTGAAAAATTGGCGTCCTAGAGAGACTCGGCACTCAATACAGCGCAAACCACGGAATTTGGAATTCCGTGGCAAAATTTTCACCCGAGATCTTAGAAATCCTATTGAGGGCAAAAATTTAAGGGTTTAGAGATAATAACAATACCGATATCGTCATGGAGCTTGTAGCAGCTACCGAGGCTAATATTTTTATACTTTTGATGAACAGGTGACGATACCTACATAATGAATATGTGCACCATTAGGGGACTATTCTCAACACCTGTCAGTGGTGTCCCCTACGAACCTTCAGCTCTCACTGTAGAGTCTACAGAGCCGAGATTGAGTGACAAGGTCCTCACTTCGATGAGGATTTCCAATCGCTTTCGTCGTCTGTATCGTCTTCATCCCTGAGCACAGCCTTCCGTCACCATTATAATGGAGGAGATGCCATCGGATGAGTTTCCGGAGCATATCCAGCACCCGATACGGAGATGGTGGATTGGATCAAGTCGGCCTCTAATGTTATAAAGAAGGGAAAATATAGATGAATGTGCGCACCTCGTGTGGTTCTGGTGTCTAGGCCTCGTCTGACTTGGGCAGCAGATTTTTTGAGATTTTTTCCCTGGCACGCAGTTTCCATTGGTACCATTTTTTTATTGTTGTTAGGTAGAAGGTTCCGCGGAAAAAGTGGCCAAATTCCACGCATAAATACTGAGCTGAATGGCTATTCATCACGGGCAATATATCAATGATCTTTCAAGTAACAAAAGAGGTTAGGAGCACTTTACAAGGTGTGGCCTGGGTCAGAGAGGAGCCCAATGTGCTAGATAGTCATTTACTTAAGTAGTACAATAAACAAAACACACATGACCTATGGAAGGAGCTTAAAGAAGACTAAAAATTGAAGGAAAGACTCTCCTTAGATATACACAAGTATGCAGCGTTTAGTTGGTCAATCTCTTCGACCGATTTAGAAAAGCATTTATGTCCTCAGACTTGTCCTGACATAGGTAAGAGAGTCCCGTACCCAGTGGGTTTCAGTGGTAAACCATGAAAGGCAAAGGGCTCACAGCTTATCATCATGTGATGTCTTGTTAGGGATGGTACTTTTAGAATGGAGCTGTGTAGGAGGCATAAGAGGAGATATTATCTGCATATGCAACCTTTGCTTGTAAACTTGAAGAATAGACGTTCTCTTTTTGCTGCTGAATTTTATTTGGCAACTACGAAGCTTTTTTAAAAAATTGGAGCATAGCCAATCCAATATTAATTTTGTTGAACTATTTCAGGGCCAAGAATTGTCCTGCCTAATTCAGCACATACTCCACCCGCGATTTCTCTTAGGGGCTACCCGTGCTGATCGCTTAGGTGCCAAATTGCAGTATCTCGGGATATAGATAAAGGATTGATTGGACGGGCATGCTAGCCTAACTACCAAGCAGCACATTAAATCGAAAATAGAAGCGACGCAATTAAATTTGATTGGTGATGGAGCACATGTGAATGTCAAAGGCGATACAATCTTCCCACAACGACCGCAAATCTGAGCTGCCATGTCATCTATTGTCACTCCGGACAAGCCAATAACGGCACAAAATATCTTACAACTCTTTCCCGATATCGATATAAGCACAGAAAATCTATCTGACCATGACCCTGAACAAATTCGGCTCATGGATGAAGTCTGCATTGTTCTAGATGAAGATGATAGGCCAATCGGGAATCTGAGCAAGAAAACGTGTAAGTAACCCAAAAGGAGATAAATACTTTTCGTTTCCTTACCGTTAAAGGCCACCTTATGACCAACATTAATAAGGGATTACTCCACCGCGCCTTTTCGGTATTTTTATTTAATTCCAGAAATGAGCTCCTCCTTCAACAGCGTGCTACAGAAAAAATAACATTCCCAGATATGTGGACAAATACATGTTGCTCACATCCTCTCGGAGTGCCTGGTGAAGGTGGCACAGATCTTTTTGAGGCCATTGCGGGTGTCAAAAGAGCCGCCCAGCGAAAACTGAACCATGAACTTGGCATACATGCATCTCAGGTCCCTATTGAGAATTTCCAATTTCTAACCAGAATCCATTACAAGGCGCCAAGCGATGGGACATGGGGTGAACATGAAAGTAGGTTAATTTTGACGCCATCCTTGAAGGTGCTAATACTACAATATTAGTTGACTATATACTCTTTATAAAGTCTGATGTAGATCTTGCACCAGCTCCAAACGAAGTACAAGATATCAAGTATGTGTCAGCTCATGGCTTGAAAAAGATGTTTGACGATCCAGAGTTGAAATTTACCCCATGGTTTAAGCTTATTTGTAATTCTTTGCTCTTTGAATGGTGGGAAAACATTGATGGGGGATTGGAAGCATATCTGAATGAACAAGAAATCCGGAGAATGTAGCACGAGATTTGATGTCAAGTAAAACGTATTCCTCATAGCTGATGGCAGGTATATGAGGAAGCCACTAGTGGCAAGCAAGGTGTAACATGCGAGTGAAGCGTTCTACGCAGTTCGCTCTATATCTAAAGGACCTAACATATTTCACCATTTCTCCAGGAGTCGAATGGTAGAAGTCTGATTAAACCTTTGTCAGCTGTAAGCATATTGCAGGTTTAATTGGGCTAGCTCAATAGCACTACTCACATCACTTTTTGCGTTCGGGTAATGTTGAATTTTTGAGCAATTTAAACTGTTACAAGCAGGGTTGTAATGGAAAATGGCGTGGAGTTACAAATCCCAAATTCATATTGCCAAACCGGTTGAAGTTATTTTTAATTTACTTTCGAAAATAGCAACGCGCCGAACCAGTACTATTTCCTAGCTAATCCAGACCATGTACTTTATGGTTGCTTTATTCCTGAAGATATCTTCCTAGCGAAAAGATATAGCGCTGTCATAGGATTCGAATTTCCTTCAGGAGATCTGCTTTCAGAAAAAGAAAAATGCCTGAGTTTCTGTGCATTTAAAAACGGGGCTTTCTTGGTGTCCAAACGGTAATGTGCAGATAGAAGCTAGAACATCTAGCACCTATTCATCTCAAGATACGGCTTAAGATAAGATTTAAAGACGGTATTTTAGAAACAGTGGTCACATCTGACGGATAACTTCGCACAGATTCACACCAGTCGCTTTGTGACTAGCGTTGACATTATTTTGTTTAGGTAGCGAAATAATCCGATATATTTTAGGCGTGGCGATTATATAGATAGATCTACATATACAAAATACATAGCTCGTGGCTGGCGAGATAGCGGTTAGCCTGTTAGTGAGGTGGTAGGAGCTAGTGTTCCAGAAGCGTACCCTTTTGTGTCTCACCCTCTAGTGAGAGACGTGATCATAAGGCTAGTCTCGCTTGATAAGGTCAACTGGGGTTGCTCCCGCCTGTGCTTAAGCGCGGTAAAGACAGTCATGCTGATAAACCATACTTGTTGCAATCACTTATTGCTCCCTTCAGGAAAAATAGGAGACAATCATGTTGGTACATCTGTAGTGCAGAAGCATGAAGTTTACATTAAGTGTTCTAACTATGTATATATACTTGTGTTACGTAATAGTTAGTCACGTGGAATATGTTACATATCCATTACAACATCTGTTATTATTGTTTAAGTGAAAAAACAACTTATCCCTACCGTCGTAAATATATTAGCGATAGATTATGAAATTTTCAATCCACCATTATTTCCAGCTAGATGACGATGATGATTATCTTCATCTTCTGTTCTTATCATTCATACTAGCCAAATAATAAGTAAGATAACGCCGAGGGTTTTCTAAGGTTAGTTGATGGTTCCAGTTGAGTAAGTAATATTTGTATCAGAGACCGTACGTAATCGACAAGTATTGAGGATTTGTAGAATGTATATGAACTGGAACTGGAACGGTTACCTATACTGTGTCTATCTTATTTGACTCGACAATTTTTATCATTGTGTTCATTGAGGGTCGAGGTCCAATGCCGAAAGGAAAGGTTCATTTGTTGCTAGGAGAGCTTGTAAAAACTGGAATAAAGCCGGTGGGGATGGTATTGTGATTATGAGCTATGCGGATGTTACACTGAGGAGTGATAAAGAGTGGATGATGTAATATTTAGTGAGTGACAGTGAATAGACTCATACAATACTATGCCGTAGGTATATGGACAGAAAGTATAAGACTAAACCTGTATCCATTTATAATTGGTACATGTATGAAACTATACATGCTCGCATAACCAGTACACTAGTGATGTATGCTGTAGCCTTGAGCTACACGCGATGCCATAGCCTCGACGACCTCGTTGTCTCATATCATAATAAATGGCAGCCTGATGCGAGTAGTTCTCCACAGGTTTCACCATTAAGTAGCCATTAGATATCATCTTCACAGAAGTCAACACAAGCGTGATGTGAACTTCCTGTAGCAACGAGGAAGTGGAGCTCGACCACTCAAACGACCTACAAAGTCTACCAAATTTTAGAAAGTTCCCTTGTAAATATTGATAACATGGCCTGCCGGCATGGGCGAATTGTTTAAATTCCAGAGATTCAAGTGTGAAGGCTGTAATTTTTTTTTTAAAAAGTGTGCAGTTACTTAGTATACTTTACATATTTGGGGTAGCCAGGAAGAACCACATCCGACTCGAAGTCTGGAATGATTACGAGCATATCTATATTTGAGTGCTTCACACCAATGTCAGTCTTACTATTCTCATGTGAGCCCTCAATCTCTATCCAACCATATATCATCTTGCGTCGCCGACCTATGAAGAGGCTGCTCCGATTGTAAATATATCCACAAGGAGTGTAATAAATTGTGAGATATAAAGCTCAGGTTTTGGCTTGCGTAGGGCCGTTGCCTTAATGGAGATCTATAATTTTGGGGAAGAGGTCGTCGATGAGCATACTGAGATATTTTTTTTTCAAGGGCTTTTGACTTTGGAGTGCTTGTGGGTGCTAACATAGTGGTCAGGTATTTGATCAGGGCTTCTATTTTCAAGGAGTCTATGAAACCCCTAGTACTCAAGGTGGCACGGGGGGGCTATTCTCATCATCTGTCAGTGGTATCCCCTACGAACCTCCAGCTCTCACTGTAGAGTCTGCAGAGCCGAGATTGAGTGACAAAGTCCTCACTTTGATGATGATTCCCAATCGCTTTCGCCACCCGTATCGTCTTCATCTTTAAGCACAACCTCCTATTACCATTAGCATGAAGCTAACCACGATCAGATCAGATGGTAGGGTCTGAGCCCTTCTCCTTACCAACCCTTGATCATGGAGATGAAGCCATCGGATGAGTTTCCGGAGCATATCCAGCACCCGATACGGAGATGGTGGATTGGATCAAGTCGGCCTCTAATGTTATAGAGAAGGGAAAATATAGATGAATGTGCGCACCTCGTGTGGTTCTGGTGTCTAGGCCTCGTCTGACTGGTGTTGCAGGTTTTTTTTGAGACTTTTTCCCTAGCACGCGGATTTCATTACTACCGTTTTTTTGGGCAGAAAGTTCCGTGGAAAAGGTGGCCGAATCCCATGAGTAATACTGAGCTGAATGGCTATTCATCACGGGCAATACATTAATGATCTTTCAAGAAATATTAGAGGCAAGGAGCACTGTACAAAGTATGGTCCGGGTCAGAAATGAGCCCAATGTGTTAGAAAGTCTAAAACTCTTTTTTTTTAAATCATTTTATGTGTATTCAGCTACAGAGCTATTACACATGATCGGTGCTATGTATACATGTTGGATGACTCTTTTGACGTTAGAGACACTCAAACTCTGTATTTCATTTGCAAATACCACTATGAGGTATGTTCGCTTACACAAACATTCGACCCTCCTCCGTTAGTACCCACCAAGGGGACGTTTCAAAACCTTTGGTTATCCTAGCATGCCTTCGTCATCCAATGTGTACCAGCGCCGCGAGAAATGTGGTTGTGTTTTACTGGATTTGAACCAGCGATCTACTGTCTCGAGTAGGATGTGTGTCCAAGCTATCCAGACTCTACTTGGCAGACCAGCCCAGACGATGTACCACCGCACCATATAACCATGGAGGTGTTTATAGTGTCGCCTGCACTCTCGCTACCGAAGTCTTGGCACGCACAATGCTCAATTTGTAAAAAATCCATGCCATAATTTACAATTTCACTCCCGTCGAGACTGTATCCATCCTTTGCATCATATGTGAACTTGTCCTAATTTCTCTCACGCCCATTCCAAAGAACCGTCTCCCAGATTTGTGCGTCACGCTTTGTTTCCTCCTTCGATTGTAAATATCGGCGTGGGCGTATATGTGGTGGTCAATTGAGGCCAGAGAAGAATGAAGAGATGTGGTCATTGAAAAGAGGATACACTAGGTCGTACTTGTAAGCATGATGAGGTGTTGGTGGGGATTGATTTCGTTGGGTGAGAGAAATTGACGAGGTGGAGAGTGTTAGATCATTGCCTCGTGGGCCAACTTGTTGGGTGCTGCGAAATATGTGTGAACTTGGCTCTGGGTGAACATTTCCCTCCCAGTTTCTGAGTCTAAGAATCAAGTAGTACAACAGCAACATCACATCACATTGTGCTTTAGTCAATTTCGCTTAGGATAGCGCGGGCATTATTTTCAAGACAGCCATTGTCGAATCACACTTTGTTAATTCATCCGGGCCGATCTCTCAAGCAGGGTCTGGATAGCCTGGACACTTTCTTGAGACATAAGATCGATAGCTTCATAGCAGCGATACACGAGCACTCGTTTGGTGTTACTGGCGTACTTGGATAAGTAGGGATTGAAGCATCTCTTTTTGGATACTCATGAACAATAGCGACTAATTTATGTAAGCAAACTTATCTCACAGTGTTAAATGGAGCAAAATCTAGGGAATAAATGTCTCTACGGTTAAAATAGACATCCAGTGTGTGTACAAAGCATTGATAATGTTTCATAGCTGAAAGCAGTTTAAACGTGTTGTGGAAAAAGTTTGTTTGCCAGAAGATAAATTGCGGATGCCTCTAGGTTTGCGCCATTCATGACTGAAGAGTTCATTTACAACGTTTCGAACAACACTCATTGGACCGAAAAATATGTCGCGAGGTCAATATGAGAGCCTAGCCCCTAAAATAGTGTCAAGTGGAAATTAATTTTGGTGTCACCGAGCGACGCAGTGTCATGACTCTTTACACAAGTGCCTTTTAGATGGCAGTTTTATAGGTGGCGTCAATTGAAATGTTACGTTGAGACGAAAAGCTAGTTAAATGTTTGGACGGGCCACCTTAGATTGAGGAGCAGGTTGCATAAGTGAAAGATGTAACAGAGTTAACGGCCCCAGGGCCTGCATTGACAAATGCAGGCACTATAGGAGGCGCAAAGATGTGGGAGATTCCGAGACGGAGCATCGTCGAGAGATCGCTCGGCTTCTCTTCCGAAAAGATTGTCTAGACGCCTAGAACTCCGTGATCAGCGTCAACACCTGCGACACCCATCAGCTCTGATGCTCGTCCCATTCGACCATGGCCGAGGGGTTCCGACAATCGTCGCCTGACACCAGCCGCTTTGCTAGTTTTGCCTTACCTACTACGACCAGCACGACGTCAGGCCAGCCTGCCTCTAGCGGCAGAACTATTCGAGCTTGCCGTACTTCCCGCCCCCGTTACTCCTATACACTTCTAGATAGCCAGCGCAATAGACGCCAGGTTAATTGACCAAATCCCAACCTTCTCTTAGCATATGCGATCGCTAATTGTAAAGTCTCTTAACCAAATTGAAGGCACGAAATTTCAGTCGCCCCACCTGGACACGAATCGAGCAAACGGTCATGTGACCACGTGCCTCGATTGTGGCCAATCTCGCATACGCGCACATGTTGATCCCCGAGTCCGAGCTATCCCATCTAACCGAAACTTCAATCTGATTTTCAAGCAGAGGGGTGAAGGAGCAATTGAGTTTGACAGCGTCCAACCGTTCATCTGGCGGTTACCGTGTGGTCGTCGAAGCCTTTTCTTGTCTGTCTAACCATCCCAGATAATTCTTTGCCTTTGAGCACCTCGTAGTCACCGAGTTGATGCCACCTTCCTCTCCCTTCTAATCGCACAACTATGCCGCTCACCCATCTACCCCTGACCACTCAACGTTGCATGCCTTTGCGACCGCAAAAGCAGCTCTTGGTCACACTACCTTGTCTTCACTCTACAGTAAATCAAGAACACAATCTGGCTACCTGTGTATGTAACGCACAGTTTCAGCACGGCTCTGTATCTCCAGAACATTGAATCTTTTTACTCAAATGTTCCGAAGCGTCTGGGTCTGCTCAGGGGTTGTTGGACGCTAGTAATCTAGCCTATATGTTTCGTCGATAGACTTGTGGAGCGTCGCCTAATTGATCAACATTGATTACGCTTCAGGGACCACGATAACAAGCTTCTAACAGGGTAGATTGCCAATTAGAATAGTAATTGTGATTGCTGCTTGCGCACTTCGCGTAACAGGCAATTAAATGCCCTTCAAACACAGCCAGTGACACGATCTTGGTCGAAAATTTGGACCATCTCCCACTACACTCTCTGTACATCAGATCCGTCGTCACAACTACCGACGCTTATTCATGGGGTAGAAACTAAGAGAGGTATTTGACAATCTAAAGGTGATCTTTATCTGCATGAGCAGCTAGCGCGGTAGACCCATCCGGTGAGTATAATTAAGACGATCATTTTACTGTATTACTGTTTATTTTGAGGATAATAGTCCTGCAACATCACTAATCCTCTCACCCGCACACTCTCTATTTCTTTTCCTCTCGCAAAGTAATCAAAAGCACAAAGCTATGCGGTAGTTTAGGAAAGGAAACGATGGCATTAATCTGAATGGTCAATGGGCAGGGGTAAAAAAAGGAAACAAATCCCGAACAATTCGCATGCCGAGTCCTGGCTGAAGCGCTCAATGCTGAAATTCTGCATTTTGTTTTATCCTACGGATACAAATCATTAAGGCTAGGCTCCCCTTGATTACGAGACAGCAACGGAGGTAGCCGCTCTGACACGGCGACGGAATTCGTTCTAGAAGATCTGAAACTTTTTTACTAGCGTCTTCCGTGCGTCAGTAGAACAAGCAATCTGTCGGTATTGCTTGCGTCTATGCTTGTCGGCCTCCCCATAAGCACTCCTTTCCATCTGATCAAGCAATAGTATTGGACCCAAGAAGCGAACAAAGCGCGGGTGTGCAGGCGCAATGCATTAAGAAATGAAAGAAGTTGTTAGTTATTGTGCCTTTGGCAAAACTTTCCGAATACGTCGTGCTCTCATGTGTTCATCTCAAATGTGCTGTGAAAGAGCCATAGTCAGTTGGTGGCCATGAAATCAAGCACATATCCAGAGTTAATATTATGATTTTGGCTGAACATCTCCACAAAACAATTAGTCGGCTTACTACAAGATACCCCGGGTGAAAAAAGAAAATTATCAACTTAGACCCTTGAAAAAGAAGCCAAAAATATACACTGCTGTGTCGGAGATTTGTCAAACATTAATAAGTATTTGCGAGACTTGAATCATTATGTTCCCTATTTAGCCCTAGTCAGAGAGCCAGCAGCAATATGCTTTGAATAGTAGATTACGAATTGCGAATTTCTTGTCATTGCTGATTTGGCTGTCGACTGATGCTCACTCGTCTCTTGTGATTGCCGGCAGGGAATAGGCGCCTGAATTACCTAGGGCCATCTAGCTGACCCCCCCAACGTAACGTAGGTGTCGTACCGGCATATGAGAGACCTAGTTTTCGTAAGTTGCCACTTGGTTTACTGCTGAGAGATCCGTCGCGAAAATAAGGGAAACCTCTTGATCTGGGGATGTTAAGAAGTGGGGCTTTGCAGGCACTCATGAGCTGCAAGCAGCATCTAGCCGCGTGGCCGGGCGTAAGCATGAGCTGGCCTAGTTACGGTAACGACGAGATAGTAGTTTGTTAGGAGTGGTGGGCAGAGAAGGGAGAAACGATGCGAGCCAAGGAAAGGGAGGCAGAGGGGTCTTGGCAGTTACGGTGTCCATCAAGCAGTCATCAGCCATCAGCCATTTCGTCCAGCTGTCTCGTCCAGTTTAGTCGAGCCAGCCGGGCCCAGCCCAGTCGATCCATAGTCTAGCGGATTTTCAAGCCAGTTGTAATTCTGGCTAGCAGTAGTAAGCCAAGCAGCCCGACCGACGACAAATTTGCCTCCATCTCCTTCATGAGGGAGAAGCGACGTCAGTGGCCTCCATACTTTCATGCCCCGCCTTCCCTACCAGTTAGACTAAGCCTTCCCCACCCTTCCCATCTCTTCCTCCATTTCAATTTCAAATCGCTCTGCATATCGCTCAACACCTGAATCGCACCGTGTTTCCATTTCCTTCCCCTCCCCTTCCTCTCTGTCTAATTGTCTCTCTTTGTCTCGTCTAGCGCATCCCCTTGTCCCATTCGTTTTCTTGCAACCCGCGAGTTTTCTCGTCAGTCGAATTTCATCAGATCCGCCCTAACCAATGTCAGACCAAAAAGATATGACCCAGGGGCCTATTAGTATGCCCTTCCCACCATCACGTCAGGCTTGTCCCCACACAGTTATCATTCGTCTCTAACGAAGCTCTTTCTCCATAGCTTCTCTTATCAGTCCCATTTCTGTCCTTATTACCGAACCCTCCGCCAATCTCCCCGCCATTCGACTTGACAAAGCTGATAATGAAATTGGTTCATTAAAGCCCCAATTCATGATAACTACTTGTCAACTTCCATTACCTTCTTGTGAACCAGACTTCCAGGACGACAGACTAAATCAATTTGCTTTTGAGACTGTATCTCTACCCATCTCCAGGGTTTGTACGCCTTTCTTTGCTTCCCAAATCTAGTTTCCCTCTGCTAGGTGGAAAGACGTTGGACTAAAGGAACTGCGAAGCCGTCAGTGAAATTTACTCAGCGATTCCTCATCCCGACCGAAATTCGATTCATCTCTCAGTCACCTACCATTTTTCTTTCGAGCGTCACTCATATCATTACAGTCAGAGACTGATAGCTTATACGCCACGCTTCTAGGTTACCTCTTTGGAAGAAAGCTCTAGGGAGATAAGCAGGCTCAATTCATCCATCTCGAGTACTCTTTCCACACGCCAGAGCCCACAAATATCGATGCATTCCCCGCCAATCACACCTGTGGTCTCACGATCTCTGGGGGTCGAAGAAATGACCACAAAATTAGCGCTGACAGCTAAACATATTGACTTGTCCAGTGATCGAGCTGCAGTGACACCACAAGTATCCCCACCGACTGAGTATCCATCTACAAAAGATTTGGATACCCCCTCATTCGTAACTCTCAGAGAAACATCAACGCCTGACAGCTCAATTCCGGAAGGAAGCCGACCATCAACCGGAGTATTTTCAATCGATCCTAACGTGGAGGAACTGATGACATCTTTGAGGGCCACTAGCCCACCAAGAAGCACAACAGCATCAACCTACAGTAAACCCTTCACCCCTGTAGGAGATGTAAATGACCCGTATGCTGCTGATAAGCGCCTACCTCAGCCTCGTAATCTTGAGAATCTAGACGAAAGGTTTAAGTTCACTGCGCTGAATTCTAAAAGTCGAAAAACCCAGAGTGCTTCTTACACTGGAACGCCCAAAATCACAAGAAGTACAGTGGAACAAAACGAATCCGAGAAAAAAATATCAAAAAATATTAAGGGTCCGAGACTAACGGTCAATGAAGAGGAATTGAACTACCGTCATAAGAATAGTTCAATGTCAGAGCTCAAGCAATTTTTCAAGATAACCGGAAGAGCAAGACTTAAACAAGTCGTATCTTCGTCTGTAGCTCGAGAAAATGGGACCAAGACTCCATCTAATGGTCACAAGTACTTTCAGCAGCTACCCTTTGGTGATGACCATGGACTCCAGGCCAAATACGGCAAGCTAGGCAAGGTTTTGGGAGCCGGAGCTGGTGGCTCAGTTAGATTAATGAAACGAAGTAGAGATGGTAGGATGTTCGCAGTCAAAGAGTTTCGAGCACGCCATTCTCACGAAACGGAGCGAGAATATGCAAAAAAAGTCACTGCCGAATTTTGCATCGGCTCAACTCTACATCATGGTAATATCATCGAAACGCTCGACATTATATGCGAAAAAGGCAAGTGGTATGAAGTCATGGAATATGCGCCGTTTGATCTTTTTGCCATTGTCATGACAGGCAAAATGTCACGCAATGAGATAAATTGCTCCTTTTTGCAGATATTAAATGGCGTCACTTATCTTCATAGTATGGGCCTAGCTCATCGTGATTTAAAGCTAGATAACGTGGTTGTAAATGAACAAGGAATCATGAAAATCATTGATTTTGGCAACGCTAGTGTTTTCAAGTATCCCTTTGAGACCGGAATAACGAGAGCTAGTGGTATGTCAAACCTAAAAAATTTTTAATGCCGCTAATACACATAGGAATTGTTGGATCCGATCCTTATCTTGCTCCGGAGGTATATGACGAGCGAAAATACGATCCTCAGCCCGCCGATATCTGGTCTCTAGCTATTATTTTTTGTTGCATGTCGTTGCGAAGATTCCCATGGAAATTGCCGCGAATGACAGACCACTCATTTAAACTCTTTGCCTCACCACCAACCCAAGGAATAGAGGGGAAACATTTATCAGAGGGATTGTTACCTCCCAGATCCTCAACTACTCCAGTAACTAAATCTGAAAATGTCGAGAAAGCTACAATCGGCAATCCCAAGCTAATTAGCCCTCCCTCGCCCTGCGGTCTCAGTTCTAGAAAAAACATTAATTTTAATAATAAACCCATCAACGAACAAGACAAGAAGCCCGAAATAGTTAAGGGTCCTTGGCGGCTTTTAAGACTCCTTCCCAGGGAAACTAGACAGATAATCGGCCGAATGCTGGAAATTGATCCTAATAAGAGAGCTGATATGTCTGATATCTTGGAAGACCCATGGGTTAGCGGAACATCAATATGCACGCGAGAAGCAAATGGTGATGTTAAACACGCACCAGGTCACACTCATACTCTGGAGCCACCATCGCCGCCAACAGGAAAACATCGGTCTGCCAATTACGGCAAATCTAAAGCAAAAAAATAAAGTAATTTCCTCATTTATATGGTATGAGCCTCATCCCATGATGAAAACGGTCTTAATGTCTGCTGGAATGATAATTTTGTTTGAGTCAGAGAATACTTCACGCGGAAGCAAGAACTGTTAGCACTTTACATTCCAACGAAATTCCCTTCACACAATAATGAAAAAATCATCATGGATTTTAGAACACAAGAACCGAGCACAACCATGAATCTTATAGGACTAGGAGATTAACAACACTCATAACACTCTTACTAGAACTCTCTTGACAAACTAGAATTGTCAAGTTGGAATCTATACAAGAGCTAGCGCAGAGAAAGCCTCGCCAGCTAGACCAATCGATGTCTGAAGTTTCAAAATTGAGTGAAATGCTCATTCTCTTCGCTTGAATAAGCCATTGTGGCTTTTTGTAGAGTTAAAGAAAGCTATCTTTGAATGGCAAGAAGCGTCGAGTAGAAAGTTATAAATATTGTATAGGAAACCGAAAGTATTGCGAGGATGATTATTTAATTCAGAGTATACGAAACCTTCGAGGAGGAATCTTGCACTGGAAGGAACTTATCCAAGATGTGGTTGGGAACTCCCAAGGACTAGCACAAAGGATAACCATCTGGGGCTGGCGTTGATGGAAATGACAAGGCGAAAGGTTTTGTTTTAATTTCATCGTACTGAAGCGATCAAGACACTAAATAGACTTGGCGCCCGGAGTTTTCTAAGGCTTTAGAAGCTGGAATGGCGAATGGTGTCAAAATTTGGTCGTTCGGTTACGTTTCTAAAAGAGAGGCTGTTGAAACTTAAGACTCATGCCATGTGGTTCGTCTAATAAGAATTTAAGAATATACAATCAAGGTACATCAAAGTCAATCTTTTTGTGGGGTTTTATTTAAATCATGTGAAGGTTTGACAACCTGTACACTATATAAGATTAACTATTATGAAGTAAGCAATTCATTAATTCTAATCATCTAAATGCAAGTAGACTTCGCTTATTTTCAATTGAAAAGTTTTTTAAAACTACAGCTGGATGTTGCAATTTTCAACGGCGTGCTCATCTATCACACGTGCAATTGCTTACCAGATACTAGGCTGGGTGATAAAAATTTGGTCAATACCTTGGTAGTGTCCCTGCCCTGGGCTGCTACCAGGCCAGTGGGTAAAATACCACAAAGAATAAGAAAAATACTACCAGGTATTCAAAGAAAATTTATGAATCTTGTTGTAGGTACATATAACTCTACCAGCACTGAGGTACTAGATCACGAATTCTCGCTTCTATCAATAGAAATCTACTTCAGATAAAGGAGTTTTCTAATCACCAGGCTATCAGAACGACTGCCGATCAAGCAGACAATGGTAACAGCAGGTAAAAAAATCAAATAGAACGATGATGGGAGTGAAAATAGTCTCGCAAAGATTCGAAGCTGAAATATTGCCGAATCAACCAGATTTGTGAAAATGAAAGGGAGAAGATGAGACCAAAAGAAGTTCAAAGCAGAATAGCCTTCAGAAGTAGAAGGGCTCATGGATATATATAAAGAAAAAACAGCTGTCTGATCATCAGGCGCTGACAAACCAAGAATATTGGAATAAAGCAAACAAATTTTTTTCTCTTACCATTTGACGTGTACTCAGTTATCTACCTGTGCCATATTATCGGTGCTATATTTAAATGTTGGATGATTCTTTTGAGGTTACAGACACTCATACTTTGGATCTTATTTGCAAATATCACTATGAGATATGTTTGCTTACACAAACAGTCGACCCTCCTCCGTGAGCACCTACTACAGGGACATTTCAATACCTGTTATTTTCCAAACTTACCTTCATTCATGTATATCAACGCCCCGAGTAATGTAGTTATGTTTTGACGGATTCAAACTAGCGACCTACTGTCTCAAGCGGGATATGTATCCAGACTAAAGAGACTTTAGGAGATCGGCATGGATGATATACCACCGTACCATCCAACCATCGCCGTGTTTATAATGCAGACTGTACTCTCGCAACCTGAGTCTTGACGTGCACAAACCTTAACATGTAAAAGTACTTGTCGATAATTATCACAGACTTTGCTCACATCCATCCCAGAAAACCTGTCTATCAGTTCTGTGCATCACAACTTTTCGCCTCTGGTGGGTATTCATGTTCATGTGGGCGTGTATTTGGAGGTTATTTAAGGCTAGATGCTGATTTGACGAGAGGTATAGTCATTGAAATGAGGATGTACTTGTTAATAATTGCAGACTTGATGACCTTAAGTAGGAATTGATCTCGCTGGCAGTAAAGACTTGACATGGTGGAACATCTTGAATCATTGCCTCGTGAGCCAACTTGTTAGATTCTGCAAAATTTCACTGAAATCGGCCCTAAGAGAAAATTTCACTCCCAGGTTTATTGAAGACACTGTGGATAGGTCTTTTCACTCCTTAGCAAATATCACCACGGACAAGAGAACGGGCAGAAAAATAGTCACCTATTAAGTAATACCCTCATATGTCCATCGAAACCTTAGCTAGGCCCAAAGAAATAACTCAATTCAAATGATAACTGGGCACGCCAGTTTCAACTTTTATCTGTATTAAGGAAAGGTCCTCGAAGTGGTCAATCTAAAATATCAGTGTGGATAACCGTCAGAAAACATCAAACTCATGGCCTTGAAGCATCTCTAATGGGATATGGGAAAAGGGTGCTACTGCAACGGGTAAATAACAGGTCCAATAAGTCATGATGAACAGCTCTGATGATACAGAGATCATCATAAAGTGCGCATCATCTATAGCCTAGATTGGATAGATTCGGCTTGCAGAATAGGTTAAGTCACAAGTGAATGAAAATATTAAGCGTTCGGGGAAAGGGTAATATGAAATTAATACTGGAAGAATATTAACGCACTACTTTAAGGAAAATTTAGAAAACCAATAGACACAAGGGAGATAGAGGAGGGCAAGACTGAACACCTGTACGCGATGTCCTCTACGAACCCAGGAGTGAAATATTCTCCCAGAACTAAGTTCAGTCAAATTTCGCAATATCAAAGAAGTTGGCCCACGAGGCAATTATTCAAACTACTCCACCACATCAACTTTTCACTTCCAAAGAGATCGATTCCTACCTTAGCCTCATTAAGTCCACAAGAACGACCTAGTACATCCTCATTCCAATGACTACACCTCCTATCGACTTTCTCTGGCCTCAGCTGATCGCCAGATACACGCCCACGCCGATATTTACACCCGATGGAGGACACAAAGCGTAGCGCACAAATCTGGGAGACGGTTTTTTGGGATGGACGTGAGAGAGATCAGGAAAAGTTGACAAGCTGATGCAAAGGAAGGATACAGTCTCGACTGGCTTGAAATTTCGAATTTTGGCAAGGAGTATTACGAATTGGGCTTTGTGCGCGCAAAAACTTCGCTTGCGAGAGTGCAGCTAACACTATAAACACAAGCAAACGATGGGAGGTGTTGTGGTCCGCCTTCTGGTGGTGTTCTCCGGTATAGTTTGAGTAGCCTGGGCACCTACTCCACTTGGGAAGGAGACATCTCAGATCACATTTTTCGCGGAGGAAATTTAATGGATGATGGAGGCATGTCTGGATAATTCAGGGTTTTTGAGACGTCCCCTGGGTGAGTATTTGTTGGAAAACCGGTATGGGTTCGATGAGTAAGGCGGCTCAAAGAATATGGGCGCGATTTTATGAATAGAATAATAATGATATGAATTGGGAGAATATGTGATAAACTGTGGAGAAATAAAAGATGGTTTGAATAAATTGAATTGATTAGATTATCTGTCTTAGTGATTCCTAGACAGCTTATATATATGTAATCTTGATAGACCAAATCCAGACTAGATACCATCCATCACTCTTTCCATACTTTAATAATGACAATGAAACGCACGACAGTATACAATATGAATATGGGGTCAGGGTCGGTGGATGAAAGCCTACACGTGTATCAGACCATACCATGCACTAGTCGAGTCTCAAGCATCAAACATGCTCAGTAAGGGAGATATCAATCATCTAGGTCGTGAGTCATGTGTGAGAATCTTAGTTGTTCCAATCATGGGAAACTTCAGACACATAGAGTCTGAATTTCCAACCGCATTCACGGATGAGGGTTGACTTGGGGTGAAGGAAAAGCCACCATAACCTCGCAGTAGTACTTGCAATTAGAATCCGAGGCATGAGTGCTCCACTTGTAAATTGAGTCAAATATTACACACTTCTCTAATATTGTGTCACGGCTAGCTAGCTGCATATGCGATTAAAATCTGATCCAATAAAAGCAACACCGAATAGAGCATAGAAATACCTCATGTTTGATCTGAGAGGTATGTTTATTGTACTATTTGGGTCTATGACTATCTAGCACATTGGGCTCATTTCTGACCCGGACCATACTTTGTACAGTGCTCCTTGCCTCTAATATTTCTTGAAAGATCATTAATGTATTGCCCGTGATGAATAGCCATTCAGCTCAGTATTACTCATGGGATTCGGCCACCTTCTCCACGGAACTTTCTGCCCAAAAAAACGGTAGCAATGGAATCCGCGTGCTAGGGAAAAAGTCTCAAAAAAACCTGCAACACCAGTCAGACGAGGCCTAGACACCAGAACCACACGAGGTGCGCACATTCATCTATATTTTCCCTTCTCTATAACATTAGAGGCCGACTTGATCCAATCCACCATCTCCGTATCGGGTGCTGGATATGCTCCGGAAACTCATCCGATGGCTTCATCTCCATGATCAAGGGTTGGTAAGTAGAAGGGCTCAGACCCTACCATCTGATCTGATCGTGGTTAGCTTCATGCTAATGGTAATAGGAGGTTGTGCTTAAAGATGAAGACGATACGGGTGGCGAAAGCGATTGGGAATCATCATCAAAGTGAGGACTTTGTCACTCAATCTCGGCTCTGCAGACTCTACAGTGAGAGCTGGAGGTTCGTAGGGGATACCACTGGCAGGAGTTGAGAATAGTCCCTCATGTTT